GTAAAGACCTAAAATCCAGAATCTAGGGACTATTAGAACCCTCGGATCCCAATATCAGGGCAAGAATATAGAATCATGAGAAGGATCTTAAGACCTCTCAAAATTAAAAGCTTTCAGATTCAAAAAATGCCAGAGATTTAATCGAAACCAAGGTCTCTGATCTCATAAGATTAGAAGATCGCAAGATTTAAGGGACCCAGAGCAGAGATCCCAGGATATATGAGAAATTAATAGAAAAAGATATAACCCAAGATCTAGATCTCAAAATATATCAAAACTCGAAGATATAAACCATTTTATACAAAAATTATATTGCTAATTTTAAAAGAAAATAGAGAATAGAAGAACTATGGAAAATAAGATAAAAGAAAAGAGAAAAGAATATAATAAAAAAAAATATAGAATTATATTGGACCTAATAGAAATTTATTTTTTGGCGGCGGCGATGCTGTCGTGCCACCGCAAATTCTTTTATTAGAAATTCCTTAAGAAATTGTTTTTGAAACAATTTTCACCCAAATATATATATATATATATATATATATGAATATTCTTTATAATATATATATATATATATATATTAGAATATTTGTTTTCGTACTCTTGATCGACCGGGGACCGGAGCCGCACGACTGCTGTATGAAGGCGGAGACCGGAGACGCACCTCCAGATTTACCGAATAATGACAGCAGCCACGCGTCCAGACGCTGACCGGAGCCACACGTCCAGACGAAGACCGGAGCCACACATTCAAATAAGCGACCGGAGCCATACGTTCAGACGGGGACCGGAGCCACACGCTTAGACGTGAACCGAAGCCATACGTCTACATCCCGACAGATGGGGACCTAAGCCGCCCATCCAGACGTTCGCAAATAAATGGAAATCGAACCACACGTCTACCTTAACAGATGGCGACCGAAGTCGCACATCTGCATATTATATATACATATATATATATATATGTATATATATATATATATATATATATGGTACCTCCCCTTTTTTGCTCAGATTGCACTTGCTACGTGGATTTACGATTAAGAATTGAGAATTGATATCATATGCGTATATCAGAATATTCTCCATATATATATATATATATATCTATATAGAATAATATAGTATGTGCTTTCCCTCATCCCATATACTCAGAAAGCATATCGTAAACCAGAGTTCATAATTTCTAAAAAATACGACCTTATATCGTAGGGAGATCCAAAATATCCAAAAATACGACCTTATATCGTAGGGAAATTCAAAATTTCCGAAATTTCTATCAAATTCGCCCTTATATTTTAGAAAAATCTTGCAATTAGGATGGGGAATGATAGAACTTTCGATTTTTGCCATTTTTTCAATTATCAAAACATTTACAAACAAATATTCTTATATTTTGGAAGAATCTAATCCACTTAGAAATTTTCGAAAATCTCAGAAATTTTGGAATTAATTTTCAAGAAGAATGATTGTGACCCATCCAATGATAGACCATATACTACGATTCACTTGCTAAGGCAAGCTGTATTTAGAAGCTTACTACTCCTACGAATTGTTACCAATACTAATACTGACTGCCCAACCTGATATAGCAACATTAAAACTAAAATATTTACAGTCTGGGGATGGGTCAAAACCCTGTATTGTCGCGGCCCCCCCCCCTCTGTTACAAACCCTTGTCGTGCCGGCTTTATTTCAATCCCTTGGCGCGCGGCATGGCTGGGGCACCTCCAATATTACTGACAAGAATGTTGCGGAATAGCAAACAAGCCGACACCCTGCGATTTCACGAGGGAGTATGCGCAAAGTATAGAAAGAAAATGAGAATTCAGCAGTACCATATTAGTAGTAGTAGTAGTAGTAGTAGTAGTAGTAGTAGTAGTAGTAGCAGTAATAGCAGTAGTAGTAGTAGTAGTAGTAGTAGTAGCAGAAGTCGTAGTGGTAGTAGTAGTAGCAGCAGTAGCGGCAGCAGGAGAATATCGGAAGCACCAGTAGCATTTGGGCAAAGGGGCATGGGCAAGTGGGAATGGGTGGGTTTGGGAGGGTTTCGGTGGGTTTGCTCGGTTTTGGGCGGGTACGGTTGTGCTCTTGGCGGTCTTTGGCCATTTCAAAATTTCGATTCCGATTGGGAAAGAGCCCAAATGACATCGCCGGAGATTGAGTCCGCGACCCTACCTAATACGCCTTCTTGAGCGGCCGTCCCCACTTCAGTCTAGTCGTCTATAGCTCAGCGGGCAAGCGGATGGCTCACACGCCCTCCTGGAAAAAGGGTGCGGGCCCACAAATCCCAGGGGTGCCATTTGGACCCTTGACCTTAACAAAGGCTTATTAAGGTTTTAATAAGTGCTTAATAAGGCCTTAATAAGCTCCTTATAAGCCTTAAATAAGGCTGTACTAAGGCCTTAATATGGCCTTAATAAGGACTAATATAACCTTAATAAGGCTTTCATAAATCTTAGTTCAGCCTTAATAAGACTTATTAAAGCCTTATTAAGCTCATATTAAACCTTATTAAAGCCTTATTAAGCCCTTATTAAGGCCATATTAAAGCCTTATTATAGCCTTTATTAAAGGCCTTAAAGGCTTTTCAGGATCAGCCAATATCAGCCAAGTCAAGATCAGCCAATATCATCCAGCATCGGCAAGTATCGACCAGTCCCAGTCGGTATCAGCCAATATCAACTAGTTTCAGCCAATATCAGCCAGTTTCAGCCAGTATCAGGCACTATCAGCCAATAAAAGCCAGCAAGCATCAGCCAGTTTCTGCCAGTTTCAACCAGTATCAGCCAATTTCAGCCAATCTCAGTCAATATAAGCCAGGATCAGCCAGTATCATCCAGCATCAACAAGTATCAACCAATATCAGCCAGCATCGCCAGGATCAGCCAAGCTGCGGGCCGGTATCAACTGGCATCAGCCAGGATCAGCCAATATCATCCAATTTCACACAATATCAGCAAGGATCAACCAATACTATCCAGCAGCAAATATCAGCCAGTTTCAGCTAGTATCAGCCAATATCAACCAGTATCAGTCAGGATCAACCTGTTTTCTCAGTCAGTATCAGCCAATATCAGCCTGGATCAGCCAGTATCAGCAAGTATCAGCCAATATCAACCAGCCAGGATCAGTCAACATCATCCAGTTTCAGCCAGTATCAGCCAATATCAGCCAGGATCAACCAATACCATCCAGCAACAAGTATCAGCCAATTTCAGCTAGTATCAACCAAATATCAGCTAGGATCAGCCAGTTTCAGCCCGTATCAGCCAGTTTCAGCCAGGATCAGCTAGTATCATCCAGCATTAGCAAGTATCAGCCAGTTTCAGCCAGGATCAGCAAGGATCAGCCAGTACTTCAGCCAGGATCAGCCAGTTTCAACCAGCATCAGCCTGTTTCAGCCAGTATCGATCAGTATCAGTCAAATTGTTGGCTAGTATCAGTTGGCATGACCAGTTTCAGCCAATATCAGTCAGTATCAGCCAGTATCAGCCAATATCAGCCCGCATCAGCCAAGCTGTTGACCAATATCAGCTAGCATCAGTCAGTATCAAGATCAATCAATTTCATCCAAGATCAGTCAATATTATCCAATATCAGTAAGTTTCAGCCAATTTCAGGCAGTACCAGCCAGGATCAGCCAGTGTCAGCTGGCTTTGCACGGATTTGGGCCATTTGGGCGGTTTAGATTGTATTCTTAGCGGTGCTTGGGCCCGTAAAACGCCGCCGGAGATTGAGTCTACGACCCAACCTAATCCGCTTCTCTGAGCGGCCGCCACTATTTCCATCTAGTCGTCCATAGGTCAGAAGGCAGGCGGATAATTCACATGCGGACTCAATTCCCAGAGGTATCATTAAAATCTTTACTTTGACCTTAATAAATATAACATTTAATAAGGCTCTAATAAGAAATTAATAAGGACCTATCAAGTCTCTTATGAAAATACAGCTATTTTAAAACTTTAGTAAGGGCTTAAATAAGATTTAATATGATCTTAATGAAATTTTCCTAAATCCCCCGAATTGAATCTAAGACCTTCCCTAGTCGGACTTTTGTCGTAGTCATCTACCTATTTGAGTATAGATAGATAGTCTTCCTAGAAAGCGGCCTTCTTTATCATAATTTTAGACAGAATCGTAAATTCAATTTTAGCGCTAATATTTGCGATCTTCCCTTATCCAGAATCGAAATTTTGAAATGTCCAAAATCCGCCAAGAGTGTATCCAAACCCGCCCAAAACCTACTTACCCATGCCCATACTACTAGTGCTAGTGCTACGGATATCCTACTCCTACTTTTGACAATACCATTACTACTCCTGCTCCTACTCCTGCTCCCGTTACTACTACTACTACTACTACTACTACTACTACTACTACTACTACTACTACTACTACTACTACTACTACTACTACTACTACTACTACTACTACTACTACTACTACTACTACTACTACTACTACTACTATATAGAACCTTGTTGAAGTCTCTGAAGGCCAACACGTCCGCCAAAGCCTTGATGGCTCAGGCAGAGCTGAGCTCAGCCATGATCGGCAGAAGCCAAGCAAACACTAGTCGTACGAGCCTAGCTTGAGCAGGCGTAACATCTAGTCCTGAGGACGGATATCTCCGACTGTGTTGTAGCGTGCGAAAAACAATCAGTTATGAGCCCATGGTTTCTCCCTGTTCTGTGAATTGATCCTGAACGCTTCTTTGACGACTACAACCATGGCAGCTGAAGGCATGCAGAACCCCAACGCTCATGATGAGCCAGAACGTCAACAGGTTATGATGCGCCCAAATGCTACTGCTAGCGCTACCGCTATGCAGAATGATGATGAACGAGGGAGACCCTTGATGAATGGGATCCCAAACCCCCTGAGGGGGTCGCAGGACATTGACGACGAAGTTGTGGCGGCGACAGCACTGACTACTTCGACGACTGGTCGTGAAGCTCCTACTGCGGCGAGTGATGCCGCACTGGGTACGGGACGAACGCATGTGGATTCGACCTTTGGTGGACTGGGTGGACCTGATTCCCAGCCCAGTCCGGCAACGGACCCGCGAGCTCCGGTATCCGGCCCTTCAGCTGGCCTCCCGGGACCTCGAGGTGTCTTGGCATCGAATCTGGATGGGAGTCCTGACTGGAGTGCTTAGAGCGGTGCAAACCTTGCCGGCGACCATGGAGAATCTTGTGGCCCGGTCTACCGGAGGAAGGTCTGGTCCGGGAACGCCTGCTCAACATGACAGTGTCGAGTATGCCTCGGTGAGGTCCTCGGCTGAGCGGGGATTACCGCCCCCGCCACCAGCAACGGCGGCCCAAGATCCTTTGTTTGATGTGCCTACTCTGGTGAGAATGCAGCAGATGCAGGAAGCTGCTCCGCTGCTATATCCAGCGACTCCGCTGGAATTCACTGGACCACGGCAACTAACCGAAGTTATGGCTGTGAGGGATGAGGAGAGCCGAAGGCTCCGCGCCCAGGTAGAGGCATTGTCCATGGAAAACCATAGTCTTCGAATGAGGGCCGAATTTGAATCTCACGCGGGGATGCACCCTTTTCGGCAGTCGACGGGGTTTCCTGGTTTTGGTTGGTTGGGAAGAGGATTGGGATCTCTAATGGGTCACTCCAGACCTGAGCGAGCCCTGGAATCGGGCCTGCCTCAGGCTTCTCAACCGACTCCGCCTCCCCTTCCTATCGCCTCAACAGTTCCTCCGCCTCCGACTCCTCCGAGAGCCAACTTGAGCCACGAACCGCATAACGCAACGGCCTATCCACCAACAACCTACCCTACCACCAGTAGTAACCCTAGTTTTGGTTTAGGCCCCAACCAAAGGGAGTTAGAGTACCTGGAGCAAGCAATGTCTAATGCCCCGGCGAGGTACGAAGCTCCTCCGCAGCCACCGCCCGAACCCATTCTAGGTTCCCTGAGAAGCCCTAATCCTGAGCCCTCCCCAACTGCTGGAGCAGGAAATGTTCCGGACAGCACCTTTGTCGCAGCCGCAGGACCTAACGTCTCTGCGATTCCCAAGGCGCCGGCAGCTGTCACCTCATTGGGAGGACCAGGAGCACAGGGGTTGGACCCCATGACAGTTGTGTTGAGTGGCATGGCCCAGTTGCAGAGCGTGGTTCAAGAAATGGCTAGCCCAAAGAATACCCAGAAGCCTGAGGTCATCAAGCCCGGAGTAGTTAGTCTCCCAGAGTTACCTCCCCACGGCCCAGAGTCTTGTTTGAGCTTCGCGGATTGGCTGCATGCCTCGAAACCCGCTCTAGCTGACATCTCTGATACCTCGGAGACTCTGTGGACTACGACCATAGCTGAGGCCCAGGAGTGGTATGCCGGCTATTTGAAGCTGGATCCCTTAGGCCGGCTCACGGCAAAACCCAAGGCTTCAGATGAGCTGGAAGAAGTGGACTCGTGTGGCCCGTCGGATTGAAACAATGATTATAGCCGCATCGCCTCAGGCGATAAAGGACGAGTTGAGTGCTGCCCGAGTGTCCGGACTACTTCCATTAGTCTGTCGACTATTCATTATCTACGGCCCTGGTAGTATCACCGAGCGTGAACTAGGTCTCAAGAATATAACAGACCCAGCCCCATGCTCTTCAATCCCAGAGACAATTGATGGGCTGCGCCGCTGGCAGAGGTGGTGCTCGCGTATATCGGAGCTCGGCGGCAAGCTTCCGGACAGCTCCCTTCAGGTTAGAGCGCTGAGCAGAATAACCAAAACGGTTATCCAACAGAACCCTGAAGTAGCGTTCCGCGTGAATCTTGCGAGGGCGTCGCTCCAAATCGACTTGACCCCGGACGATGAGAAGGTTCGAAAGTTTCATGCTCAACTGCTTGGGGAGTTGGAGGCAATTGCGCACAGGGGTGATAAGGATAAGGGAACCCGAGACCCTCCGTCACCAGCTCCAGCGAAGGTGAAGGGTGTAGAGGCTCCAGCCCCTAATCCACCGCCGCCCAAGAAGCCTCCTAAGAGCCCTCCGAAGGCCCCGAGTAATGCCAAGGCAGGCTCTCAGGACTCAACTTCCGCTGCCAAAGCCCCATGTTCGTTCTACGTGGGACACAATGGGTGTAAGAAGGGAGCGGATTGTGCCTATGAGCATGATTGGAACGGCTTCTCGACGTCCGAGAAGGCTGCGAGGTGCAAGGTGTGTGGGTCCAAAACCCACAAGGCCGTTGACTGCAAGGCCGGTGCCAAGCCGGAGGAAGCCAAGGGGAAGGGAAAGGGAGGCAAGGGACCCACTGCGCCTAAGCCTAACTCTAACGCCCCTAATGCCCCGCCTCCAGCTCCGCCGGCGAGTGATGCTAACCAGCAGCAAATCAAGAGTCTTCTAGCCGATGCCGCATGGATACTCCAGCAATCAATGCCGACGACGCAATCCCCTGGAGTAGAGTCAGTCCCGACAGTCCCGGCTACCCCAGTCCCAGCACAGCCTTTGGCGACTCAGGCCCAGGCGTCCTCCACGGCACCTGTTCAGGGTACGCCTGTAACCCTGGCCTCTCTCAGCGCCCAGCTCGACACTCTTCGTGGGCTGTCGCGGGATCCAGAGATTAGGGTGATAAAGGGACCGGAGGTTTTGGGTGAGTCTTCGGAGGTGCCTGGATTGGGGGTTGGAGTTTCGGTGAGTATGCTAAGAGCCCAGTTGGATGCTCTGAGGAAGGCTGTTGAGATTTTTGAAACCAAGGTTCAGACCAAGGATGATCGGAGCGGCTCTGGTGGTGTTGCCTTGTTGGATAGTGGGGCAACACATGCAGTCATCTCGTTCCATGACAGGCTGCAGAACCTGGAGCCTGTCCCAGTTACTTTAGCCGGTGATGAGAGGCAGGAGTGGCTGAGAACGGAAGGGGGCACTCTTGTCATCCCCCCAAGCCGGGAGGCTGATGCCCCTAAGTCCTCTCAAACAATCCTCCCACTGGGGGCTTTGGTTGAGACGTTGGGTTGCCAGGTGACAATAACACGTGCCCATATGTGGAAGAGTCTCAAGCCCTATGCTTGATCGCCGAACTTGAGGATCAACGAGTAGACCGCTTTAAGCAAAGGGTGCAGAATCTGGAGTGTCAGCTGAATGCCTTTGATCAGTGTCCAGATCCCACAGCCTCCTTGCGCTCGTTCGCGGGCAGTGGAACTCGTGTAGATGCCCTGAAGGCTTTCCTAGCTCAGCCCTATCTATCCTCACTTCCCGATGATGTCAGGATTGAACTCGCGGAGTCATTTCCCGTCGGAAGTTCCGAGACTGCCAAGGCACTTTTGAAGCGGTTGCCCCTGAGACGGGCTACCCGACGTTCCCTGCTAGAGTCTAAGCAGTGGGTTGTGCACTTGTGTAGCGGGCCTCCGTGCAAGGGTGACCCACTCAGCGTCTGGGCAAGTGAAAGGGGAATGCCAATTCTCCGTGTGGATCTCCGCCAGCAGGGCGGAAGGGGTGGGACTTGAAGGCTCAGAATGGAGTGTGGAAGGTCCTCCTATGGGCAGCATCCCAAGGCAGGATTGCAGCCTTGTTTTCAACCCCTCCGTCTGGGAGCACCAATGAAGTGAAGAGGCTAGTGGCTCAGGGGATGATTTTGTGGTCCCTAGCTTCAGTGGCGAAGGGTAGAGGAATTGTGTATGTTGCAGAGCATCCGTCATGCTTTGGCAATGCAGCAGATCTATTCTTGAGTTGGTCGAGAACCAAGGTAGTTGAGTTTTCTCAGGGTGCTCTAGGAGGTGAGTTCTTGAGACCCACGGCCTTGATCACAAACCTGGATTTGAGCTACCTTTCATCCCTCAAACCTTGTGGCAGCCCTCTGACCCCTCCCGGGGGAAGGGCCTGGACGATCCAGTTGCGCACTGCCTTGGTTAAGGTGTTGTCTGGGAACTACCTAGGGCCCCCGTATGAGGTTCTTGATCGGGAGATATCTTGTCGGATAAAGGGGCAGTCTGTCTGCTGTGAGCCTCCGACGACTAATGCTCCTTCCGTGGATCCAGAGCCTCTGGAGGCTGACCTGGAGGCCCAGGCATTGCGCAGATCCTTTGAAGAAGACAGCGATCTTGATTGTGATCTTGAAGAGGATGTTTTGATTGAAGAGTTGTGTGTTAAGGAAATTGAGGGGGACTCTCCAGCCCCGGCTAGTGGTGAGAACCCTAAGCTTGATCCCAAGGAGCTAGGCATGAGTAGTGCAGAGCTTGAGGGATGGAAACAGCATCTGAGCAACGGACATCTCCCTTATCGTAGGGACTGCCGGCAATGTGTGGAGGGTTCAGGGCTAGGTGTCTTTCACAAGCGAGTCCGCTTTCCAAAGTCATTTGCGTTATCGGTTGACCTCTTCGGTCCGGTTCCGCTGCCAGAAGCAGGACGGGATGAGGGATGTGTCACTGGTAAGTCGATCCTTCGCTATGGATTAGTGGGTGCCTTCCGTGTGCCAAGGTCGGTCATTCAGTTATCGAGTGGACCAGATGGCATTAAGGATCTGTTTAAAGGGGAGACCCCTGAAGCACCCCCAGCGCGGGATGAACTAGCCGAGTACGAACCTTCTAATGCAAGTGACGAGCTGTTCCCAGAGCTATTTGCCTCACACCCGGATGCCAAACGACAGATCCAGGAGGAGCAAGGGTCAGTGCCAGATGCTGAGGTCAAGTCCGCGGAGACCCCCGAAGTGTCTGTATGGGACTCTGGTGATCTCCCGGAGGACCCGGGTGAGCTGGCAAGCTTAATCAAGGAGTTGAATGAGCCGGTGGATCAGGTAGTTTTGAGATACTTCATTCCGCTACGCACTAAATCCGGTGTTGAGGTTGCAGAAGCCCTCCAACGAATGATCTTGGGGATAAACCAGAGGTTTCCAGTGCGGAGCATCCATCACGATCCCGGCACTGAATTCGGGTCGGCAGCTCTTAGCAAGTGGTTGGCCAACCACGGAGTAAGGGTCCAGCATTCCCTACCCACCGATAAGAGAGCCAACGGCCTGGCCGAACGGACCGTAGGCTGGATTAAGTCCCGAATCCGTACGTTGTTGAATGGCGCCGGCCTTTCGGTAGGCTGGTGGCCCCTAGCCGCCCGCTGGGCGGTTGCCAAACACAATCGGAATCTTCTAGGCGAGCCTGACCTACCGGCCTTTGGCCAACGCGTGCTGCACCGTGTAAAGCAGCCGGCAGACGGCACAAAGCAGTTGATGGAGCGCTGGATCGAAGCACAATATGCAGCTCCGCACCGCTCGATCCCAGATGGACATGTGTTGATCAATGCAGCGGGGAATTTGGTAGCTTCTCGGGGTTTCAGGTCGCATGTGATAGACCCCACCAAGCTCCCAGACTTACAACCCCCACTTCTTCAGGAGGAGGATGCCGGGGAACCCGTGGACACGTTGATGAATGAATCGGGTGTGCCACTGAAAAGGTTGAGAGACAAGACCTCTGTCCGGTTCCTTGAGTGTTTGGAGTCTCCCACTTCCGAGGAGGTGGCCCATGAGCTCTTGATTTCCCAGGATTTGAGCCTGAAGGGAGTCCATGGAGTTTTGAGTGCCTTTGCCCAGGAGGAGGAGAGCACAGGAGACAGGAGAGGTATCGCTGAAGGAAAGTACGTCCTTGGCGCGTACTGTCATGGTGGCCTGAGAGGAGTCACTGGTTTGACCAAGAGGAAGCCTTGGACCACCAGGCTTTTGAACACCGTGCTGGCTTCCCGTGTCAGTGCTTGTGAAGGGGTTAGACCCACATGGTCAGCGTTGATGTTGATGCGTGCAGGGGATGTAGAGGTGCACCGGGATTGGAGGAATGAGTGGGGCACACTAAACTTTGTAATGCACGTTCCGGGAGAAGTTCAACTATGGGTCGAGCCCGAAGAATCTGCCCGAGTAAAGGGCGGAGTTTTGCCGAATCCAACTTGGTGTTCCCAGGAGACTCGAGCCCTCACTGAGGTCCCTGTGGCCTTCAATGCGCGCCGACATCATGCAGTACGAATGCACCAGAACTGGTTGATAGTGGGTTATACTCCATTGGGTACCGGGAAGCTTCCGCAGGGAAGCGTAGCAACCTTGGAGGCCTACGAATTTCCGATGCCGTGCCCCACTGGGCTCCAGGGTCAGACTCAGAGTGAGCGCCAACCAGGTCAGGCGGAGACCAGGACCATCGCTCCGCAACTTAGGGATGAAGACAAGTATCGTGTTCAGGTGTTGTCAACGAGCTCCGAGGACATGTCGGAATCGAGCATCGATTCAAATGAGCTACGGAGGCAGATCGAAGAGGCAAGGTTGCTTGAGGGAAGCCCACAGTCCGATGAGGACTCCGGGCCCCTGACCGTGCAGGAACCATTGTCCAATGACTTGCAGCCGGATATTAGCTCTCCGTTGATTGGTTGGGACTTTAGCTCAGGGAATCCTGGAGACAGACCCCATGAAGCTCTTGAGAATGTTGAGTTGGCTGACTACTTAACAGTAAGGGGTGCCCAGCAGGTATACCGCCAGTTGAGAGCCCTGGGAATTGAGGTCCCAAATGATCTCCAGTTTCTGTTTGTCGAAGATCTGATTGAGCATGGCATTCCAGAGTGGTTGGCAGTCAGAACGATGCAAGGGATACACCCACCCGGGACGAGGAGACCCGATAATCCGCAGAATTCTAGCCTGACTACTGGGGAGGTTCGTGTTTTCGATAGGACCAATAGGCAGATCCACCGAACTTTGGGGGTTAGGTGCCCTGGTCCCCCACTGCTTTCTTTAGGTATCAAGCAACCGGACGCTCTACGTAGGACATTGAAGTCCCAGGAGGAGTCTCGCAGAACGGTCCGCTGGGATGTCCCTGAGGAGACACCTGGTGCAGATCCAACGGATTCATCCTCGCCACAGTCGGGTTTAGTCCCAACCTGTAACCACCCGGGAGAGCTACAACCCAGTGTTGGTGTCTCAACCAGGCCCGATTACAATCATGTGATGTATATGCAAGAGATGTGGGGAGATGAGGAGTGGATACCCAGTACGGGTGCTGCTTCAAGTTCTCAGCCTGATGTTCTTCCCCCATCTGAGGTTCAGTCCAGTGTTCCAGCCGTAGGCAGTGATGATATCCCGGAGGAGACTAGTGCAGATCCGACGGATTCATCCTCACCACAGTCGTCTCAAGATTATAGATGCATGGTGGTTCGTCCTGGTACTCCCCATAGTGATAAGCGCAGTGACCCTAAGTCGTTGGCTGAGAGTTTAGAACCAAGCCGCGGGGAAACCCAGGGTCCCAGAGCATCCATAGGAGTTCCTACCATAGACCCACTAGGGAGCCTGAGTGTAAGACCCGTTGCAACGCAGACTGACCCAATGGTCCAGCGAGTTGATGAGGGAGGTTTCACACCAAATGTTGAGGATCTTCTGTCCAGGCTGGAAGGTCCATTGGAGGCGACGCATAACGTTGCTCCGGCTGAAGTTCGTCAAAACTTGGCGAAGTGGCGACCAGCAGCTCAAGCTGAGCTGAGCACGTTTGAGGCTATGGGCGTCATACGCAAGTTTTACGGTGGCGAGGCCCGGGCTATATTGAGAAGTTCGGACTACGAGGTCATTCCGGGAAAACCGGTCTGTACGGTAAAACCTGGAGAGCCTTACAAAAGGAAATTCCGCATTGTGTCGTGCGGAAACTATGCAAAGACAACAGCCGAGTCCCAGCTCTATGCTGGTGGTGCTGGGGCAGAGTCCCTTAGAGCACTACTTGCTCACTCAGCGCGTCGTGGTCGTAGGGCGTATGGGCTTGATGTGAAATCTGCTTTCCTCCTTGCTTCGATCCCGGATGGGGTCACGAAGCGCTATACGATGCGCCCGCCACGTCTGTTGATTGAGCTTGGGCTGGCACGGGAAGACGAGGTGTGGATCATAGACAAGGCATTGTACGGATTCAGAGAAAGTCCGCGCTGGTGGTCTTTGTTTAGAGATGACTTCCTTGCAAGGGCGGAGTGGGACACCCCGCTAGGGAAAGTTACGCTGGAACAATTTTCCTCTGAAAGCAATGTCTGGCGAATGAGACACGAGAATGGTCTTTGCATCGGACACTTGTTGGTGTATGTGGACGACATGCTACTTTTGACGGAGCCAGAGGTAGCACAGTCATTCATTGATTGGCTAAGGCAATCCTGGGAATGCACTGGACTAAAGGAGGCGACTGCTTCAGATCCACTGCGTTTTCTTGGTGTGGATATTTATGCAGAGGAGAATGACGCTGGTGACCTTGTAGGGTACAGTTTGGCTCAGGAGTCCTACATTGCAGAGCTCTTGCGAAGCCATGATGTGAAGCCCAACCCTCGTGCAACGTCACCGGTGCCCAAGGAGTGGGTGCGTGAGCTTCCCCAGGAGGAGGAGTTTTCAGAGGCGGAGCTGCGAGCTTCGCAACGAATAACGGGAGAACTGCTTTGGGTGGCTCAGAGGTCCAGAGTGGACATCAGCTATTGCGTGGGCCTGATGGCAAGCTGGGTGGCCCGGTTTCCTAAGCAGGTCTCGAAGATAGGACTAAGAACCCTTGAGTACCTGGCAAATACTAAGTCCCATAGACTTGTGTTAATTCCGGGGAAGGCAGAGGGACTTAGGATCTTCACAGACGCGTCTTTCGCGCCGCATGGAAGCCACTCAATCAGTGGAATAGCACTTATGTATGACGAATGCTGCGTGGTTTGGAAGTCGAAGCGGCAGAGCATCGTGACATTAAGCACTGCTGAATCGGAGCTGGTGTCCGGTTGCGAAGGAGTTGTGCTAGCACAGTCACTAGAAGCTTTGATTTCTGAACTTGAAGAGGGCCCGTGTTGCAAGCATTTGATGATTGACAATACTGCTGCAGTGACATTGGCAGGCGGTGAAGGCAGCCAGCGAACACGGCACTTGCGGGTTCGGTCATCCTTTTATACGGGATATGATTGACCGGAAGGAAATCGACGTCTCGCATTGCCCGGGAGATGTTCAGTTGGCCGACTGTTTAACCAAGGCCCTAATGAAGACCCGTCTTGATGACCTATGTAAGCTCTTGGGTTTAGGACCTCCCAGCATCTCCCAGCCCTAAACCGTCGGTTTCGCAGGTATCCAGAGTTGAGACAGATGTGTCAGTCCTACAAGGAAGCCTGGAGCCCTCTGAGGGGATTCCGAGCCAAGCCTCTCCTCAGAGTCGAGTACAAAGGGAGTTTTCGGGTAATAATAGGGTAGGGTTATGGTTGATAGCCGTACTGTTGTTGCTGCAGGCTGATGTCAGTGAAGCCGCTCCGAATGAGGAGCTTGAGTCTGAGCCCTTGGGTTTGGAGCTTTCGCTTTTGGTGGTGCTGTTGGTTATGTCAATACTGTTCCTTTGGGAGTCAGGCAGGTACTGCGTGAGGTCATGCTGTCGGCAACGTGAGCCAGCGGCAATAAGAATGGTTCATGCAGACCCTGATGTAGGTCAACCGGAAGCCTCAACCCGAAGAGAGCGTAGGCAGGAGCAGGTCCGTAGGGTTATAGCTCGCGAGCTGCAAGAAGAGGGGTTAAGGCAAAGGAATGTGGTTGCTCAGGAGGTCGAGGCCTACCAGGCGCCACGTCCAGACGCTCCCTGCGTTAGAGTGCAAGTTGAGACGCGGCCTCAGCTATCAGTTCTGGACTTACCTCCACCTCCACCACCGCTGCCCTCTAGCAGCTCGGTATCCATCCCGATTGATACCACTCATGGATTTTCTGGACTATGTGGATTTTCGGCGGTTGAACCGCCACCTGCACCCTTTCCGACCGTCTTAGAGACTCGATCCTCTGTCCCGAACAGTGGTTTAGAGGGTCAGGTCAGGACTGCTAAGGATGCATCTACGCAAACTACCTTTGATCAGGGTTTCACCTTCAATGAGTTGTGTGAGCTCCACGTGATGACCACTACAAGTAGATCCCCAGGAGCGTTGCATCTTTTCCGATCCTGCCACGCGCTAAGGAATACGACATCAGTACAGGATAGGATGATTTGTCGGTATTGCCTTCAGGCTTTGCGGGACGGAAGGGATTAACAGCTTTCCATCCAAAATTGGATGATGCAGCTGAGGAGGAGTGTTGAAGTCTCTGAAGGCGAACACGTCCGCCAAAGCCTTGATGGCTCAGGCAGAGCTGAGCTCAGCCATGATCGGCAGAAGCCAAGCAAACACTAGTCGTACGAGCCTAGCTTGAGCAGGACTGCGTTGTAGCGTGCGAAAAACAATCAGTTGTGAGCCCATGGTTTCTCCCTGTTCTGTGAATTGATCCTGAACGCTTCTTTGACGACTACAACCATGGCAGCTGAAGGCATGCAGAACCCCAACGCTCATGATGAGCCAGAACGTCAACAAACCTATATACCTGCATATATACGCAATTTTTTTTTTATATATATATATATATATATATATATATCATTCACATATGATAACATAATAGACCTTGTCGCGCCAGCCTTGTCGCAGAAACCTGCTTTTGTTACATCTGTACTTTGTCGCGCTAGGGGCGCCCCGACCCTCTTATATATCAGAATTTTTGACTCACTGCCGTGTAATAAAACCGAATACGAATATGCATAATACAATTACGAATAAGATTTCATCTTGATATTAATATACCTACGTATATCAATAATTATACTTATATTGATACTTGTATACCTTAATATCAATACTAATATATACCTGCATGCACCACAAATAAACATACTACTATATTAAAAAACAAATACATTAACTCATTCATGAATTCATCCATTAAAAGTTTCATATAATCAAGAATAATATAAAGACAAACGTTCCTACTCATGCATATCCTCATATTAATATTAGCACTAGCGCTAGCACTATTCCCACGGCCCGGAAGAGGACAGCAGGACTAACGGCCGAAAGGCTAGGCCGTGCGCAGCCGCCAGGACCGCAAGTGACGCCGGCGTTCCATTAAAGCATAAGCAAATTTTAAATTTAAGCGACGATCGGCTGGTAAGAATTAAAGTAAATGGTATTTGTGTTTTTGAACAATCAATTACAAATAATATGTGAATATTTTGCGCTACTCCTACGCGAGGTTGTCGTTGCATTTCGCGTTTTTGATGTTTCCCCCATCTGCACACACGCAACGACTGGAGTCGCTGCAAAGTCCTTGCATTTGCCGTTTCCGCAAGAGCACACCCCGTGCACACCGTCCCCCAAGAGTGAACAACTCGTGTGAAAGCCGGCGTGGCGCGGTTCGTTTTTTGCAGCCTTCTGCAACTGCACACCTCCGGGGACAGGTGAAGAAAAAACCCCGACATGCATGCACTTATACCTGCGTGCTGCGGTTCGTTTTTGCAGCCTTCTGCAACTGCACACCTCCGGGGACAGGTGAAGAACGGACCCCGACAAGCATGCACTTATACCTGCGTGTTGCGGTTCGTTTTTGCAGCCTTCTACAACTGCACACCTCCGGGGACAGGTGAAGAACGGACCCCGACATGCATGCACTTAGACCTGCGTGTTGCGGATCGTTTTTGAAGCCTTCTGCAAGTGCACACCTCCGGGGACAGGTGAAGAACGGACCCTGAGATGTATAGAATACACCAAAACCGTTAAGCCATGAGCGGTCGCGCTAACCTTTTACTCAGAGGGCTTGGGCACAATAGTCAGCGGTATATAGTACACAACATGATGACTGTACACGACCATACAAACTCCTACGCAAGCTGCGATGCAAAACTACACCCCCCTCACCTAAAGGCACGGTCACTGCATTCAAAAACACAACATACCTTCGCCTGCAGGTGGAAGAGCGCTTCGGCTCGGAGTTTGACGATCGGCGTGGAGTTGCCTCCCGCGTCATCAGTTCAGCAAAAGTACATGTGACTATCGTGTGCCTCGAGGAAGGGTGCGAAAAACTACATGCAAGCTTTTCTTCAAATGCAAGACGCTGGTTTCAGCGTGGAGCAAGGACGATAGGAGTTCGCCGCACAGCCACTTGAAAAATATCACAGGCCGGGTGAACATCCCTCTTGCTCGAAAGAATCAGACTACTGGGTCGGCTTATCAGTTCCAACGCCATCCGCGATTGCGCCACTCACGCCAGTCCTGGTTGTCCCAGTTCTGGCCGCGCCATGATCCCCAGGATGACGAAGACCAATTCTGCCACCAGGATTGATTATCCCAGTCCCAGTCGCGGTTGGTGCGATCGGCGGCCTCGGCGTTAGCCGGGCTTTTGCCTTTTCCCTTCTCTGCTGCTCGGGCATATGTAGAGCCCTTGCCACCACCTGGCGGATGCTGCTGGGCATACTTCGGCTGGGCAGCACGACTTTGATTGGCCTTTTTGATGGTTTCATCAACCGTCTCCACCATGAAGGGTAGGTCCTTTGCCAAAACGGTCTGCAGGTCCGTACCCACTGCAGCGGGATCGTAGTTGAGGAGATCCACCTTGCCGTGGCCAAAAGTCTGTAGACGGATGCCCCCCTTTTGCCTGGCGACGTTGTGAGCGAAATCTTGGAACGAAAGGATGGCTCCGTACCATGTAAATGCTACTGGCGTATCCTCCGGCGTGGACGTTAGTCCCGCTGCGCACAACTTACCGCCAATGCCATCGTCTCCGGTAAAGAAAACGATACGACACTCTGGAATCTCGTCCGTGCGGAACTGGTGCGTGGAACTCGCCGCTCTGGAGGATCCAATAGCCAGCATGCGTTGCGATCGAGTGCGGCCAGGGTTCGGAAGGTAGGCGAAGCAGAGGCAGTCGAGGGCACGGATCGTTCTGCGTGTGTATCCCTCTTTGGCCATTGAAATTGCGTATTCATTGTCATGATTGAACCTCGCCACGCAATCAGTGTAGCCCTTTTTCACGGCTCTCTGCTTTGCCACTTTGGCTTTCCGAATAACCTCGCCTTCTAAGGAGTTCATGCCACGGCCGGCGACATCTTTCGATGCGCTTTGAAGGCTTGGCCTCACTCCCACTCGTTCAGCGGCATCACCCATCTCCTGAAGCAGAGCTTCACGCCCACGTGCCAACAGCGTCCGTCTGCCCTGTGCCTTCAATTGACCTGGTCGAACTGGCCCTCCGCATTGAGAGCAAATCCTTTGGCCTTGAAGACACTCAGCTTTGCAGTGGTAGCATTTGATTTTCTCCAAAAACGCGGCGGATGGCTTGGTCTCACTACCAGCATAAAGTACTGGTTCTGGCCTTCCCACCGGCTCCTGGATTGCTTCAACTGGTGTACCCTCAGCATCCAGCGTCACCGTTGTCGCCATTCCGTCACCGATGTACACAGTCCTGATTGGAGGACCCGGCTGTGCAATGATGGTGCCTGGTTCAACAAGCGGCCTCTCCTCTACGGAGGGCATTTGCTCATCATCAGGAGCTTCATCGTCGTCAGCCTTTGCAGGGGCATCGGTGATAGCCAACGATCCCTCAAGCACATCAGCGACATCTGGAATGGGCGGTAGGGATGTTTCCTCAGCTGGAAGGGTACCATGTTCTTCATCAATAGGCGGTGCGAAATTGTCCTGAGTCGTCTCCTCAGCCTCGGGTTCATCAAGAACGATATCGATGCCGGCCTCAGCGTTAGCTGGGCTTTCACCTTGTTCCGTCTCATCAGGAGGGACAGCGCCTCCCGCACGGGACCAAAGTACGACATCGCGTTGCGTGTCATTGATGAACAAGATGGTCGAGCCGGGCACTGCCTCGGAGCACAGTATGCCATCAGATTCCGTAAGGAATAGGTCGCAACCAGCTTCGAGGACCTCCCGGGTGTCGAAGACGATCTCAATTGGTGCACTTGCACGGAGTCCTGAACGTACCTTTTGCTCTTCGAGCGGCAGCGGCGCAAAATAACAATGCGCCTTCTCAGAACCTCCAAAACCAGGCAACAAACGATCTTCCAGAATCGCATACGCCGCATCATGTGTTGTGCGATGATAGAGTCTGGGCGGCGCCTTATCAATCGGGATCAACGGCCTGCCCTCTCGGGCGGCATTAGCCAGCTCTTCAGAACGCTGCAGTGTAAGATATGCCTTTGCAATAGAGGCATTGTCGAGCTGCAGATTGCTGGAGTGGCCTTGCGTACAACCGACGTAGACCGGAAAAGCCGGTTGGCCAATTGCATCGGCAGCACTGTCCATTGGTCCGCGAAACATAAGGCGCTGTTTGTTGTCGGTGGCGATCATGTCGAGGAGGCTTCCTAAACCAATGTCGCTTCCAGGTCTGCATCGATTAGCAACCTCAAGCACTTCCATGGCTAGTACCCATGGCCCGCTCCACGATCGCATTTTAAATTGATTACCCTTGTTTTCGAAGTTGCCTCTGATCAGACCAGTGACAAATGTGACCATCTTGTGGTCACATCTGGGGTAGTGTAGGCCTGGCGTCATGTCTTTTTGGAACACTTCGATGTACTGGTCGGCCTCCTCTTGC